TTATTCAAATGAACTCCTATCTATTTTTATAAGCAAGTAAGCTTAGACAAGCTTTTATTTTTGTCTCTATTATAAATCCTTTTCTTTTCCCCCATTTTCTCTTTCCTGATTTTCACCCACATAGCACCTCTTCTCAAGTTAAACGCAGGAAGGTGGCTATATTACAATAGCTCCACCGGAACCAATACTATAGAAAGTGAACTTGTGAGAGAGAAAGAGTTTAAGAAATAGCAGACAGAGTGTCTCAGGGATGCTGAATTTGTGTCTTATCTGATAAAACTACCACAGCACAGATTTTTGCCTGTGTTACCTGGGGAACCTGTCACTATCACGACTGTTAGTTGAGGAGAGGTAAAAAGGATGGATGGATTTGGGATTACAAAACAGTATCCTAGATTTGCATTTAGAACAAAAATCCCTAGAACTCCAGAGCAAAAAAAATTTCAAATTTCCATTGGGGGTTAAATATCTCTATCCAGCTGCCTAGAACAAGAAGGGCAGAAGCAGTATGGGATAGAATGTTTGTATGCATTTGCACTGCTACCTTATTAAACAAAAGGAGTATGGGTAATCTCTATGAAAATGACTGCGATTAGGATACCAAACAACTTACTGGCCTTGACTATCCATTTATAAAGCTTCAGTCGTGTTTTTCAAAATAAGCATGAAATATAAAGCAGCCTTCAGAAGGATTAATTGGGGAAATCATAGAATCATAGACTTTAAGGTCAGAAGGAACCATTATGATCGTCTAGTCTGACCTCCTGCACAACGCAGGCCACAGAATCTCACCCACCCACTCCTGTATCAAACCCCTAACCTATGTGTGAGTTACTGAAGTCCTCAAATCGTGGTTTAAAGACTTCAAGGTGCAGAGAATCCTCCAGCAGGTGACCCGTGCCCCACGCTGCAGAGGAAGGCGAAAAACCACCAGGGCCTCTGCCAATCTGCCCTGGAGGAAAATTCCTTCCCGACCCCAAATATGGGGATCAGCTAAATCCTGAGCATGTGGGCAAGACTCACCAGCCAGACACTCAGGAAGGCTGTTCCCGGGGCCGGCTCCAGGCACCAGCCCTCCAAGCATATGCTTGGAGCGGCACCTGGAGGGGGGCGGTGCTCACCCGGGGAAAGCGGGGCCGCGGCTGGGCTCGCCGCTGTCTCCCGGCCAGGGAGGGCGGGGCCGCAGCCGGGCTTGCCGCCCTCCCCCCAGCGCTCCGGCCGGCCGGGAAGAGCGGGGCTGTGGCCGGGCTCTCCGCCCTCCTCCCAGTGCTCCGGCCGGTTGGGGAGAGCGGGGCCCCGGCCCGGCTCGCCGACCTCCGCCCAGCGCCCCGGCCGATCGGGGAGAGCGGCGCCCCGGCCAGGCTCGCCGCCCTCCCACCGGCGCTCCGGCCGATCGGGGAGAGCAGGGCCGCGGCCGGGCTCTCCGCCCTCCTCCCGGCGCTCCGTCCGGCCGGGCTCAGCGCCCTCCCCTGCCGCGCTCCCCGCCGGGGGGCAGCGGGAGGGTCTTTTGCCTGGGGTGGCAAAAAAGCCAGAGCCGGCCCTGGCTGTTCCAGAACTTCACTCCTCTGATGGTTAGAAACCTTCATCTAATTTCAAGTCTAAACTTCCTGATGGCCAGTTTATATCCATTTGTTCTTGTGTCTACATTGGTACTGAGCTTAAATAATTGCTCTCCCTCCCTGGTATTTATTCCTCTGATATATTTAGAGAGAGCAATCATATCTCCCCTCAGCCTTCTTTTGGTTAGGCTAAACATGCCAAGCTCTTTGAGTCTCCTTTCATAAGACAGGTTTTCCATTCCTCGGATCATCCTAGTAGCCCTTCTCTGGACCTGTTCCAGTTTGAATTAATCCTTCTTAAACAGGGGCAACCAGAACTGCACAGATTCCAGAGGAGGTCTCACCCATGCCTTGTATAACGCTACTAACACCTCCTTATCTCTACTGGAAATACCTCGCCTGATGCATCCCAAGACCACATTAGCTTTTCTCATGGCCATATCACATTGATGGCTCATAGTCATCCTGTGATCAACCAATACTCCGAGGTCCTTCTCCTCTGTTACTTCCAACTGATGCGTCCCCAGCTTATAACAAAAATTCTTGTTATTAATCCCTAAATGCATGACCTTGCACTTTTCACTATTAAATTTCATCCTATAACTATTACTCCAGTTTACAAGGTCATCCAGATCTTCCTGTATGATACCCCAGTCCTTTTCTGTATTGGCAATACCTCCCAGCTTTGTGTCATCCACAAACTTTATTAGCACATTCCCACTTTTTGTGCCAAGGTCAGTAATAAAAAGATTAAATAAGATTGGTCCCAAAACCAATCCCTGAGAAACTCCACTAGTAATCTTCCTCCAGCCTGACAGTTCACCTTTCAGTACGACCCGTTGTAGTCTCCCCTGTAACCAGTTCCTTATGCACCTTTCAATTTTCATATTGATCCCCATCTTTTCCATGTGGAACCGTATCAAATGCCTTACTGAAATCGAGATAAATTAGCTCCGCTGCATTTCCTTTGTCTAAAAAAATCTGTTACCTTCTCAAAGGAGGAGATCAGGTTAGTTTGGCACGATCTACCTTTTGTAAAACCATGTTGTATTTTGTCCCAAAGGACATTGAGGTCAATGGTAATAACTACTTTCTCCTTCAAAAATTTTCCCAAGACCTTGCATACTACAGATGTCAAACTAACAAGCCTGTAGTTACCCGGATCACCTTTTTTTCCCTTTCTTAAAAATAGGAACTATGTTAGCAATTCTCCAGTCATAAGGTACAACCCGAGTTTACAGATTCATTAAAAATTCTTGCTAATGGGCTTGCAATTTCATGTGCCAGTTCCTTTAATATTCTTGGATGAAGCTTATCTAGGCCCCCCGATTTAGTCCCATTAAGCTGTTCGAGTTTGGCTTCTACCTCGGACGTGGTAATATCTACCTCCATATCCTCATTCCCATATGTCATGGAGACAATGATCTGAGAAAGTGTCCAAAAAGAAATACTTCTCACTCCACTGTGGTCAGTCTAATTCTGACTCAGAAGAGTCAATAGTCAATAGCAAGAGACTCCAGAGAAGAATCTATGATCAGAATTCCACAAATTCAAGGAAGGTAAACTTCACATTTACTGACATTGACTTGGATTACAAACTTGAGACCAAATTCCAATGCACCCAGTGAAGTTGTATACAAATAACTCAAGGCAGAATCTGGTCTCACGATAGTTTAAGATTTTCTTTTAATATACAAAGTTATTTTTACTATCCAGAGGTCCATTCAAACTAAAAGGATGCATGCTCATTTCAATGAACAAATCTTGAAAAAAGTTATTTCAATTATTCCAGTATTTCATTGGGCAGATGAATATTTTAGATACTTCCAACTGGCATTTCTTTCCCTAGCTGAACAGAAACATGTTAATATGAGACTACTGTATTGAAATACACTGAAAAATTCTTAAAATGAATGCATACAGAAGTATTCTGCCTTAACATTTGCATTGTCATGTTCCATGCTTTTCTAATATTAAGGTGCACTTTTTGTACAGAGATTGCTGACAGTAAGAATCTCAAGCACATAATCAGCAAGCTAAAATACTGCACAACAAATCACGATAATATCTGCACTTTGAGACAAGCCATGTTTTAAACTGGTTTCAACAACAAACATATACGGGTATTACAAAAGGGCTTCTTATGCAGACAATTCTTTACAAATCATATACATCAGACACCTAGTAGGTCACATCATTGTCATTTTAAGTTACATAATGACCAAAATGGAAACATTTAATGTTCGTTTGAAATGATTTTGAAAAATAGGGTTTAATACTTCTGTCAACATCAAAAGGTTTAAATTAGTTTCAATTACTGAAAAGTCCACAATTCTAATGATGTTAAGTGATTCACCACACCATTATATTAATACCCTTTAGCTCCTGGAGGTCAGTTCAGGTCTCTGATATAACCATGTTAATTTACTTTCTTGTGTGCAATATTTGAGAATATTTAACTAAACGGTATATTTAAATAGCTTATAAATATAAGAAACATCAGACAAAAAACAGCTTTTTTATTGTTAAACAGACAATTGCTGGAAGATAGACTATCCACGAGTAATATGATGGCTGTAGTGCCAACCTGTTCTGATTAAGAACGGTGAGTGGGGAAAAAAGGGCAAGCTGCTATCAAATAGAAATATCTACTAATCAGATTTTTTTAAAAATGCTTAAAAGCAGGGTGATTTACCAAACCACATTCTCTTTGAATAGCACAGCTACTCTGTCATGTTTGAGCCGAAGTCCCCGTGACACAGGAACACTGTGTATTTCAATACTCTGTGCCAAATTCTTCAAGCAGGTACGCCACAATGTTGATACGGAACATGAACAAAGCATAGAATTTGGATTTAGCACATCTGGGTTCCTTTCCTGGCTTTTGTCACACATCTTTTGTCACTCACCTTTATGTGACTCAGATTCCACATATGAACAAACCCACTATACACAAATATAAATCTGTTTAAAAGTAATTTTATTTATACTTGTTTTCTTCCTTTGTTAGAACAGAGTTTTGTTTGAAAACAAGGTTGTTGTTTTTTAAAAGACGTTCATCTGTTTCTGTCCCTTGCTCCCGAAGTCATGACCCTGCTCATGACATCACAATGATTTCTATAGCAGACCCTCATAATGTTGCAGTCTTGATTCTGAATGTATTAAAACTGACATAAGCAATGTTAAAGACTCCATGTTATATGCTGTTTACAAAATAACATTATGGTGGAAATAAAACCACGCTCTGAAAAATATTGCTGTTATAAAGCTTGCTTCACATGTGCAATGAAACAAGCACTTATTGACTGGATGATATTTCAAACTTCTACAATAAACATCAAATTTAAGATTGTGTGCAACTAATATAACTTATTACAAGGCAATTTATTTTCCAGGGTGGTATCTAGCAAAGGAGATATCACCCATTACTAGTCAACTTACTTAGTCTCTTAGCAGCCGCCAGGGCATCATTCGCAGAGTCAGCCACGAAGAATCTCTGAACTGTAACCCCATGGTCTGCCATCAGTTTTTTACTCTGGTATTCCTGCAGGTTCAGCCATCGTCTCGAGGTTAATTGAACAGCCTACAGAAAGAAAGAGAAATAACAAAATGCTCATTATGAACAGTTCATGCAACAGTCAACTGCACTATTAAGCCTCATGGTCACCTCAAACTAACAATAAACAAAATTATTTAGGAGAAATGGAAGAATGTGCATCATTTTAGGGAAATGCCACTTCAAATGTGTGACTAAAACATTCTGAAACCTATCAAAGATACTAAAATGCTGCACAAGGCTCACAGGGTGATCTTGGCTTGATGTGTATGTCTTATTTAAATCAACACAGGTTTGCAAATTTACTGGGTTTGATTTCTACAGTATATTTATGGTTTTATGCATTTCTGTGCTACCTAAAAATACTATTATAAAATTGTTACATTAATAAAAATATTCTTTGCTTTATTTTAAATTCCACAACATACTAAATATTAAATAGTTGTCTTACATACAATAAGTTTCTCAGACACTATATACACACACTGTATATCTGAGTAGGAAAAAAATTATTTTAATTAAGGGTTAAATTTTCAAAGTAATAATAAATCCCAACACATTTTAAAAGGTTTGGTATCTATTCCCGATTGGCTCTGGATTAATGACCTTTTGTTAAAGGAACTAGCAAATGACCAGTGTGGCCATATGAGTCCAGGAGTAGCAGCAGAAGAAACAACTTCCCAACCTCACCATAGAAGGTTTACAAATTATACATATGTGTATGCATTATATATATATACACCATCGGTGGGCAGGGGGGCTGGGAGAGAGATAGAGACTTATGCACATAAAACCAAAGGCCAACAAAACAAAAGATCACAAGCAAGTGCCACAGGTGCGCCACTGAAAAGCGCAGAAAAGGGCATTTCAGAGTTGTGAGCTCAAAGGAGCGGGCCTGAAGTCTACTCCTTTCTATACTGTACTGTTACATGGTCAGCTGTTCCAGCTTCACACTTTTTAGCTGGGATGCCTCAGCTCTTTCTTTAAAGCTTCAAATACTATTAAAGACCTTGCCGGACTATTGCTGAACATTGTGAACAATCTTCTCTAACTTCCTCGTCCAACATGAACAGCTTTGATGAACAAAGTTAGAAACATGGTGAATTATTCTTATGTCAGTCACATCAGGTGGCTGCCGGCCTGGCTCCACTTTACACTCTCCAAATATAATTGGATTTTGTTTTTAGGCTAAGCGAATTTAGTGGTGGTGAAAGGTGCCAGAGTGACAGCCCCCTGGAGACTGAAGTCCTATTTATCCACATAACAGATACTGCACAGACAAAATGTGAGCATGCACCATCCCCTCCCCCCCCACACACCTCTCCCCCCTAAGGAGCCTCAACACTGACTTAGGCTTGGTCTACACTGGGGGGTGGGGGGAAATCAATCTAAGTTATGCAACTTCAGCTACGTGAATAACGCAGCTGAAGTCAACGTACTTCGATCTACTCACTGCGGTGTCTTCACTGCGGTGAGTCAACTGCTGACGCTCTCCCCTCGACTCCGCCTGTGCCTCTCGCTCCGGTGGAGTACCGGAGTCGACAGGAGGGCACTCGGCGGTCAATTTATCGCGTCTAGACTAGACACGATAAATCGACCCCCACTGGATCGATCGCTGCCTGCCGATACGGCAGGTAGCATAGACAAGCCCTTAGAGGCACCACTACCAGGAGAGAATAAAGTCTCCATGTCCACTGCTAACAATATCAGCCATTTAGTGTCTGAAAGCACCTAGGACCCATTGGATTGTAGAAGAAACAAATAATTACAACAATTTAGTAATAAAACCTGCTTCGGGAAAACCACATGACTAGATAGCTTTGCCATCAAAGCTGTGCAGCCCTCTGGACATTTTTCCTCTATCCCATAAGCCATACCACTTATCTGGATAAGTTACTCTAGATCCAAATTTCCTTGCTTTTGTACATGTTACACTTCCATTATTACTATATTTTTTTCTTTATATATTCTATGATCTAAAGTAAAAAATAAATGTAATGTCATTTAGGCCCTGATTCTGCAAAACATTTGTACATGTTCAACTTCAAACACATCAGTAATCCCACTGATATTAAACATATGGGTAAATCTTTACAGAATTGAGGTTTTATATGTTCCCAGATCAGAGTGTTACAATTTACAGTGAATATGGAACAACCTTCATTGTCAACACAATTACTTTAAAAAATTAACTTTAGCTAACATTTACAAGGGGAAGGATGGGGGGGGGGGAGATTTTACATGTTCCATGACAAACCAACTCATGCTCCCCTCTCACACATTTAACCAAGCACTGCCATATTTTTAGAAATATCTGCAGGCTGGCTAACATTTCTTCTTGGGATCCATATTAAAATGGTCAAATAGAAAACGGGAAGAGTTAACTGAAAAGGGACATCAGCCTGAATGACAGCAGTGCTACCTGGAAGTGGTTTAATTACAATCTGTGTCATGAAGAAGACACTCTTCTCCTTATGGAGAGATGAACTGCTGCCCTGGTGGCAGATAAACCACCATAATTTCTCAGCTGCTGATAAAATAAAAAGCACTGAAGGCATGCTGGCACCTCCCAGCTGGACATAACAGAAAGGATTATTTATTATATTAATATTTGGATCTCTAAAATCAGGACATAAAACATTGATTATCCTTATATAGTTTTATACTAATAACAAAAAATGTTAATATGTCCACCTTTCAACAATATATGGCTTTTATGCAATACTGGAGTTTTAGATATTACATTAAATCAAACAGAAACATCCATCTGTTTGAACACAGGACACAAAAGACTGATATAAAAGACACGTAAAAGCCATGTACTTTTATACAGGAAATGTGAGGTTTTGTATATTACAAAGTGATTCCTGCAGTACATAAATAATTACAAATGGCTCAGAACTCACATTTTAAATAACGTGAGAAGTATTTTAGAAGAATAAAATGCTTATAGTGAATACCTACAATAACCTGGTTTTAGGTAAAAAGCAACAGAGGGTCCTGTGGCACCTTTAAGACTAACAGAAGTATTGGAGCATAAGCTTTCGTGGGTGAATGCCCACTTCATCAGACGCATCAGTCTTGCGTCTGATGAAGAGGG